TTGCACCACGAGAACATAAATCACAGCTTGTGAGTGGAATATCTCACGGCGCGCCAGCATTCCCCAGCTCGTGCTGGGATTAGGAAATCAAAAGGGCACGCGCTCTGCAACTGCTCCACAAGGCCCCAAGGAAGCCAGCGTGTTGAGAAACAGCCAAGGAGGCTCACTCAGCTCTGTCATTTATAATGGTGCCGGACTGACAGAAGCCCGTGGGACATTACCGCTACAAACCCCAAACCACTGACTGCATGTGCCATCCAAACAAGTACAAATTATGGTCTAAACGAAGCGGAAGAGCTACTGCAAATTGCAGGAAGCGTTCTCCAGTGTCTTCATTATCCTGTTAGTTTTTAGATAAATGTATTTTCAGCAACATGTGGCTATGATCATCACTCCATAGGAGCAGTTAATCTTCCCACAGGGACAAGCAGAATTTCCCCGTTTTACTTCACATCATATGTGACAAAAATAATTTAAGAGGATATGTTTGCTCGTCATATATGAAAATATATAATCATATCTCAGTGTGTGTGTGTGAATAACGTTGCATGGAGGACATTTGTGATTTGCCCTCCATTATGCAGTTCCCTATGAAGGGAAACTGTACTGTGAGAAATCCAAGTATTTGATATGCAAAAATGCTCTCTATGTATCCTTGCCTTGTGTTAGTCAAAACATTGATGAGATTAATTTGCATTTATGGAGTGAAAGATTACACAAGTACACTATATGAGGAATAAAGGGCCCAGCTCAGGTTAAGGCTGATTGACAGCTGCATTGTCTGGCAGGGCTTCACTTCATTTTGAGGAGCCCACAGTGACCTCAGGCATTATGGCCGTGGGGGCAGTGCCAGTCTCTCAGGATGCTGATTAAGTGGGATCAACCAGTCACCCTCAGAGACACAAGTGGCCTGGCCGTCCTCAGGGGAGTCCTACCTACAAGCGGCCAGCTTCCTTCACAACACACTCACACCGCCACACCACACAAGCTGCACATTAGACACAAAAAGTGTTATGTGCCTTTTCATGATGCAGAATTTAATCCATTTACACATAAGAGCTACACCAAAAATGCTTCTCACAGATTGGATTTTATTTGGCTATTTTCATCCAAGGCTTAAACCTAGGCCTAATTCCTGCCATATGCTCCAGTTGGCTACGTATGTGTGTGTGAACTAACCAAACAATGGGGATTGTACTACAATTGTAGGGTAATGGGTGCCCTTAAAGCCTTTGTTTCCCTGCAGAGGAACACTTAAAACAAGCCTTTCATGATAAGCGGCCGGCTGTTGTGCTGCGGCCTCCACAGTCCCACAGGACAACATATCCATCACCAGATGCCCTCGGGTGTGGGCTAACAAATTTGTTCACTCTGGTGCTTACATAACACCCCAAGAGCTTTAGCACTATCTGGTAGGATTTTTTTGTTTGTGTGTGATCTGCCCACATGAGATCTCACCGTCAGGTTGAGCACTCAGCAGTCCAATGATTTTCTTTTTTACATTTCATTACAGGGGCGTTAATTCACTATACAGTACAAAAAAATTCTCCACATGCAGGCTATTATTTGCCACCAACACATGGAAACTAGTTTATTGTGTCCTTGTATTTCCGGAGACAGGTGGAGCAATGACTTGTGACGGGATGACTGACAAGATATTATTATTTAGTCAATGTGATCAATTATTATACGGACGGGAGGTCACCAAACAACAGACGCACCCAGCGTGCTGCACCCGACATGTCTGTGTTTTTAAATGTGGCTTACAAATTGATTTTAGGACCTTTTTCAACCAGATGGTCCTCACAGACAGGCCTATAAAGATAATAATAATGAAAATAATAATAATAAAAAGTATTAAACCAAAAAGATCATATAATTTTATCTATCTATCTACATGAAAATAAATATATTTGATTTGACCAACTGTCTCAAAGTGTCCTCTGTTTTTCCAAGTCCCTCAGACCTCGGCCTCCATGAGGATCTGCCAAAAGAGACAAGCCAGTGCCCTCTACAGGCCACAGCTGATGGTGACGCATGAACCACAGCAGAAACTCTCATACACCATGACTCTCTCTGTTGTTGTATTAAGTCAATGTTTGATGGATTTTCATCATCAGGGAATAAAAGAGTAAAGTATAAAATAAGAAGATCATGTCAGGCTGTTGAATGTTGTTCACTCTGAGATGAATGTGTGTCTCTTAAAATATAATATTACTTTAAAATGCATATATTTTATTTGCAAAAATAATAATGACCCACATTGAGAGTATTACCCAAGCTTAACCGAGCCCTGTGGAGGGCGTTCCTGTGGTGTGGACCTTCTGACATCCAGGGGTCAGATGTTATATGGACAATGCAGGGTACTGTTGGCATCCACTATATACTATACTATACTATACTATAATATATTATACGTGGTATAGAACTTCAATTTGCCTTATTTTCAGGGTTTTATTACATCTACTGAACAAATCAAGGATAAACAAATAGCTTCATTGTTTTGGCTGATAATTGTAAATCAATGTGATTTGGTAAATAGACGGACTAATTTCGATTCTTTAATACCACATCCAAAAAAATATAGCAGGACCCCTTCCAGACCCATTCAGTGGCTTTTCAGTGAACCCCCCCCCCCGAAACACAACATTTGTTCCAAATATGAACTAGTAAAAAGAAAATAACTGGTCTGCCCCTACATTGAGTCACTGCTCTGATATTTCTGGTTATTAACTTTCATATAAATCCACTGATCCCACTTCTCCTATAATTAGAAATAAAAGCCAATGTCTGTTTATATAAGAGCTTTTGGGAAAAACCTAAACTGTGATGTACTGATGTTTATACACAGTTGAGGTTCTCGTACAACAGAGACAACTTATCTCTGAAAGAAAAGTGCACATCATTAAACAAACATAACTGATTTCAAGTCTCAGATAATACATTTGCTCGCTCACCGCCGCTTGTTGGATTGACTGGGCCGTCGTGATGGAGTGTTGCTTTGTGATTCGGTTTGGGAATCAATACGGCATCATCAACACAGCTCTGTTGACACTGCCAGTCATTGATGAGCTGCTACATATTACAAATGTACAGCGTATAGTGATGCCTGAAGGCCAAGGTAAAGCAACATATACAATACAGCACAGACCATTATCTATTCTAATGTGTTATAGAGTATTATTAGTAGAATCCGAGAAAATATCAGTTTTAATACCGATGACAATGGCTGCAAGTGATCAATGAACTTGAATGTTCGCAGTCAGACTGCAGCACATTCGTTGTCATGGCAGACTGCACAACAAGCAGCGGATGGAGATGATAGGAGGGCCAGCTCAGCAGTGTAACAAGCCTTGGCAGTAAAATGGTTGAGGTGGCGGGTATAGTGCCAGGTTTGAACAGCAGTGTTTGCTCAGGAATAGTTTGGGGTTGCTTGGTAGGGCACAATTACAGCAGTCTGTCTTACACGCTTTGTGATGTTGAAGCTGCTGGATCGGAGGCAGGCAATGCACTGACAGGAAGTAAAATAGAAAAATGTATTTGTTTCTTTTTTTCAAACTATTATGAAAACAATAAAAAGCATATTCTTAACAATTCTCCATCCGTATTGTGATGATAGTTGTCTCATACCATTCGAGGCCATGGTGGTCTCCTTGGCCACGACTCCTGTTCTCGACCATGTTAACACCTGTACAGATTTTCAGAGTAAAATAAGCGTGTGGATTACATCAGGAGCCATTTTCATCTTAACTGCTTGAATGCATTGCTTCCAACTTGTTATTAACACCATAGCAACAGGCAGGCAATCTCCTCCCTGTAGGTGGTCCTGTCATTGCATGTGATGAGGTCCAAAACATACAGCCACCTGCAAATGCATGTTTGTCTCATTCTCATGTCCTCTGTTTCTTGACTTGAAATAAATAAATATCAAAGAGATAGACAGATAGGAAAGGATAAAACTCATGCTGCAGGAAGAAATGCAGTTATTGTACAAATATCTATCTATCAGTGCTTAAGGATAATAATAATAAAATGTTAAAAGATAAAACACCTTGCTTTAAGTCTGTGGAGTTATATCAGGATATCAGTCAGTTAGCTACATTTCTAAACTGCTTCAAAAGTACAGTCTTGTTATTTACACTAAGCAGTCAGACCCCTCTGAAATGAGGGGCAGTAAAGGGTCTTGTAAATGGCAGTTGCTGGGTACGGTGCTGTGCTGCTAAGACAACAGACAAACTAGTCACATTTTACTACAGTCTATGGTTCCAACACATATGGGCCACACTGGGGGAAACACATATGCATCTGTTTAAACCTGGAATGTTTGAATTTTAAAAACTAAGAGGGGAAACATTTTTCTAGGCTATGTATCTTTTCATTTTGACTATTTTAATGTTACTTCAATTGAGTTCCATCAGTGAGACTTGTATGTAGCCTATACCAAAGCAATTCAAGTTTACAACACATCCCAAACATTTCTTAGAGGACTCAGCCTACCTGATTACACCTTATTCACAATAGGTTATCTTCTATTCTTTACACATTCTAATTCTGCTGTTTTTGTGTCACTTTTTAAAACCCCATATGGAAATGTAAATTTTTTGTTGATTTTACCTCAAGCAAAGGCCCATAATCCTCATTCTGGATATCCTCCTGCTCTAAAATAAGGTAGAATAGTAGATACAGTAAAATAATATCGAGGTAAATGAGCTGTTATATAAAACTTAATGGTTTAAACTGTGAAAATAATCCTAGAATAAAGTTTTTTCAAACTTTTCATTGACTGGCAGTGATTGACGGTCTCGGCTGTTGCTTGGCAACGGGACGCGGAACCGCCCCTGTCACTGTGCAGCTCGAGCTCTCAGCAAACCCACGAACACAGGTTTCACTTTTCACACACGATGTTCACTCTGTAGAGGAAATCACCCACTTGTGACTCTCTCCCTCTTCCCTTCTCGTCTTGTCGGAGGAAGCGACGGTGTCATGGTCGCACAGGAATCATGTCCGACGACGAGAGCGCGCCCAGTTTCCTCGAAGACGTCAGGGTGAAGTTTGTGGAGGAGAAAGTTTGTGTTGTCCTGCGGCTGCAGCGTCACACATGGCAGAAGACAGCTGTCAACGAAGACTTTCAGACTCTGCTCGCACACTTCTTCGAAAAGGAGCCTGTTATATTTTTCTCCTCGGCGAAAAAAGGTGGCCTGGTTGCTTCTAAAGAGGTATGGCTCCAAAATCACCTACATGATCAAGCTAGCTCGCTACTGACGAGTAAGCTAGCTTTTGGAGATGTATGTTTGATGGTTGGTAAGTGACATGTTCCTATGTGTCGTACGATTTCAAATCCAGGCCCTGTCTGATGGCCAGAACAAGAAGATCTATTTCCTGAAGAAGAGATGTGACCCTGTCAGCTGTGAGAACTACAGGGAGCTCCTGCTGTTCGGCCTCCTGTCTCCATCTCCACTTCTGCAGCTGTCAACCATAGTCGAGCAGGTGACTATTACACCCTCCATCACACATCTACCTCATATTATAGACATTTTACTGTATGTGCAGGAAGTGGAGCTCTTCCCAAATCCATTTTCCCTTCCCGATACTGGTTCCCATACATTGGTTTTGCATATTTGCCACAACAAAGTACCTATAAAACCAAATCAAATATACCTAGTTTAAATTTGTCTTGGACCAGAGTGCTAGAGCAGCTGCAAAACAGAACATAGTACAACAAAAAACAGCACACAAGGACACATCATGTAAGACCAGGAATATTAATGCAGAATAAAAGTGAGTTGAATATTGCACCTGCTCTAAAAACACTCTAAAATGATAAAACTCTAAAGGTATATTACCTATCTGATACTGGTGCATTAAAAAAACAAGAACAATGTTTGCATTTTAAGCAATCATTCTGGCATCAGAGGAATTTCCAATGCTGGTATCAGTATCGAAACATCTTTATCTGTAAGTTGTGTTTGTTTATAGTTTGCTTTTTTGAAGGTTTGAAATTATTTTCTTTGCAAGGTATGCGTCCCTCTGCTGTCAAACAAAAATAACCATCAGAAGTGGCCAAAGGTGATGTCTGAAGATATCATTCGACATGTGGAGAGCATGTGCAGCACGATATCAGTTGTACGAGGACAGGTCTTAGGGAAAACCGTCCTCCCTGTCCCAACCGCAAAAGACTGGATGGAAGATTCAAACAGAACCATCAAAATGTAAGATAAAAACATATTTAGATTTTCTTTAATATGCTGTGATCTTAGTTGATAGATATAGTATTAACCAACACTGCAAACATGAATTTTTACACTCAGGTTTACCTATGACCGGGCAGTGGCCCACACCTTAGAGACCCATGTCATCAACTGGAGCAATCTAATCCAGAAAATTTTAAAGGAGGATTCATCAGATCTACTCAGGACAGGCAGTAATCCAGGGCCCAGTGCAGAGCTGAAGTTTTGGGCATCCAGGGAGAGCAATGTACAGAATATCTATCATCAGGTATCATCTCTCTTTTCCTGATAATCTTCAATAAAGTTATTGTGTAATTTATCATTCTCCTTGTTAAAGTGTTTGGATCTTTTACTTGTAGCTTCAGAGCCCCATTGTTCAAAAGATGGCAAAGGTGTTAGAGATGATGGACAGCAGCTATCATCCAGCAATCAACATTCTAGTTGGAAATGTATCTGATGGTAAGAATAGCTGATTTCTTCCCAAAGTGAAAGTGTAGTTTGCAGCTTGTCATATTTCTGATGAACAGCATAATGTGATTACCAGAACTCATTAAGAGTGTCAGTTTGATTTTTTCCTTATTCAAAAGCTCTACGAGAAGCACAGGACATTAACCTCTATATCCAGCCACTACATGCACATCTCTCTCAGCTGGAAAAGGAAGGATTTCCTCACCTGAAAAAATCCATCCCTGCACTGTTTCACACACTTTTTCTGATCTGGACCAACTGCCAGTCTTATCAAAGGCCGAAACGCATTGTGGTGTTGCTGCAGGAACTCTGCAATCTACTTATTGAACTGGTAAGAATCCTCATTTGATACTACGCATTCACCATAACATTGACATCAGTTGAGGGTTGTGAATGTGAACAAATTCAAATTGCTATATGTTTTCACCCTGTAGGCGTCCACATACCTCTCAGCAGATCTGCTACTCAGAGAGGACCCATTGGAAAGCCTGCAGATGGTAAAGAGAGTAATATTAGTCTTCAGGTGTTTCAGAGACAGTTACCAGACCCAGAGGGAGAGGTTGACCAACCATGTCAAACATGCACCCTGGGATTTCCCATCTGCCATGATTTTTGCACGTTTCAACCAGTTCCTTGATCGTATGCTACAGCTGGAGGTGGGGATGAGGCTTTTTCTATTCACGTGTCACAGCAAGGCTGAATCTGCAGTTTTGTTTCAAATGCAGTGTTATCTTTGCAGGGCTTGTTTGAAATCACGCTGGACTTTCAGAGGATGGAAAAGCTGGAATTTGGTGGACTTCAGGGAAAACTCTACAGTGAGCAGGTCGCTCAGATGTATAAAGACTTCTGTAATCGCTGCCAAATGTTGAAGCACAGTGAAAACAGCCCATTCGACTTAAACTCTCAGGTGAAATGGTCTTATGATGGCATTTATAATGTTAATAATGACACATTCAGCCCAAGATTGATGATGCACAAATCTAAACTTCTGTTCATTTATAAACACTGTTGATTTCTTGAATTTGTCAAAAGGGTTTTGAACACGAGTACAAGGATTTCAAAGAGTGGATAGTGAACTTTGAATGCCACCTTGCCAGCCTTCTATGTTTGGCTTTTAAGGATTGTTCGGGACTGGAATCAGCCTCCAAAGTAAGCAAGACTGGGTAACACTGTGATACCAAAGACATACTGTAGATACTCAAGTGACTAGCCAGTGATAGTGCTACAAAGTGGGACAACAACATCTTTTTGTTTTTTGTCCTGAAGCTCCTGACTGTTATTGGACCATTTCTGGTGAGAAAACAAGTTAGACAGATATTCAGCCCTAACTTCCTCGTGCTGCAGCAATATTTCAGAGAAGAGCTGGAGAAATGTAAATGGCTTTTTAAATCCCAGATCAATCAGGTAGGTTAAGTTAAACTTGGATGTTAGCAATATCAATTCAGGGCACATGAACAGAAACTTAATTCCTTTTCTATTATTTTTTTGTTTACAGATAGAAAGTGGTCTGACCAAGAACATGACTCACACATCCGAAGCTTTGAAGTGGGCCAAAATGCTCAGAGAACGTATTCAAACACCATGGGAAAAAATCAGATCGCTATTTGATATGTTAGTAAAACATTTGACTGGTTCTTGTGAGTTGATTACCAACACAATACAAGAGCAAGCCAGGATGATTAAAAGTATCAACAGTATTATTATTGTGTCAGGCTTTAAAATGACAAATTATTCTCCAGGCCTGCAGGAGGCGTGGAGATGGTGAGCGTGGAGATGGTGAACGAGAACAACATGTACATGGAGATGTTGCGTCTCCTGGACCATTATGAGGAGGGCCTCTACTCTGACTGGTGTGATGGTTTGGAACAGACCTGCTTGATGAACCTGAACCAGCCCCTTCTCTCCAGAAATGCCTCATCTGGCCTGGTCTCAGTCAACTTCAATCCAAAGGTAACTGATCCAATGTCCCTGCAAACCATATGCACAGTGTATAGGTTCTCCAATGCGGAATAATTATTCAACTTACTGTTTGACTGATGTAGTCTTTTCAAAGTTAGGTTCCCTCACAGTGGTGACGTGTGCTCAAAGTCCCTCAAAACTGGGAATATTGTTTCATATTTGAATAATATCCCTTGTATGGTGCAAAAATCAGATGAAGGTCAGTCGTCCCTTGGCTCAAGATGTATATATTATTTATATATATTTATTCATACCTTTTTAGGCTGCAGACAGAAAAATTACGTTACCATCATAGCAGAGGGAATAGTTATTACGTCTGCCAAGAAGGTTATGTTTATTTGATGGTTGGTTGGGTTGTCTTTTAGCACTGTTACATAAAAACTACCACTTGGATATCCACAAAACCTGATAGAAGGCTGGGACATGGGCCAAGAAAGAACCTATTCAATTTTGTCTTGGATTTGATCAAGTGTTCGTAATTTGGTGCAGATCCAAATAAAAATCTGGTGCTTGAAGATTTAAATGTGTTTTCATAAGGGAACTGTTTAGCCTTGGCGGATGTATTAGCTCTACTGAGTGCCAATCTAATTTTAGTAACTGTATTCTCAAATGATTTATTTTAGCTAGAACAAACCATTTCCCCACCACCCTGCTGTGTTTATATATTGAGTTAATCACTGTTTCTTTTCACTCCTCAGCTGACTGAAGTCTTGAAAGATGTGAAATATATTCAGAGTCTCAGTAAGATCCAAATCCCTGCAGCTGCAACGACTGTTTTTGATAAGCGTGACATGTTAACAAAGGTAAGAAGCAAGCAAGTTACGCCATGGCCCCATTTACTCACATGTATTTATGTTTGAGGTAAACAATATGTCTTTCTAGTATGTGAGCAGTCTGCAGCTGTTAGTACAATGGTACAACAACCTCAAGCAGACTGTGCTAGAGGTCGAGCTTCCCCTAGTTCGTGCTGAGCTGGAATCCGTAGACCTGCAGCTGACAAGAGCGGAGAGTGACCTGACGTGGCAGGACCTGGACTGCGGGAGCTTCATCAGCACGACCAAAGACCTGGTCCAAGACCTTGTATGTCGAGTCAGCAGAGCAAAGGAGAACTGTGAAGCCATTCAGTCACTGATGAAAGGATGGGGTAAACAAGCCATGTTTCACAGGAAAGACAACAAGAGAGGTTCACTCATACAGTTGGAGGATAGAGGAGAGTGGGTCAACAGAAAGTACAGCGGCATGAAGAAGGATGGAGATTCAATCCACATGCTGGTGCAGGTACATAGAACTGAATTTATAATAGAATTCACTCTTGTGTGTGAGAGATTTTTCTATACAATGCTTGTGTTGCTACACTGTTAGTAAAATCAAGCCACGAAAGTATTGCCATTAAAGACTTTGGCAGAGATATTGCTCTTCTTCTGATTACAGCACTTTTAAAAGACTCTTTTTACAAAATTTATTTTTTAGATTCATTTCAATTGTTATTTTTGTTTGGCTTTAGATTTTGTTTTCCAAAATGATACAAATAATAACCATTATCTCTCTGGTTAAATTCAAAGTACATTTATATATATATATATTTTGGATATCATCAGTTTTGAGTTTTCTGATCGTATCGATAAATGTATTTATTTATTCTCATAAAAACTTCAAATAAAAATGTCCCCAGGAAAATATGGTTCTTTTCCATGCTGACCCTGCTTCAGAAGTGTGGCAGTCGTACCTGGAGTACGTGGATGAGATGGTGGTTGAGGGGCTCTTCAGCTACATCAGCCTCTCTCTTCAGTTCTTTGTGGACAACATGGAGTCGTGGCCAAAACTGGCGCCTCTGTTCGCGTCTCAGTTGATGCTGAGTGGCTCAGAATTGGTCTTCCTCCCCTCACTGGAGCGAGATGCAGGGGACGGCCTCTATGAGCTGATAGAGGGACTGGTAGGAGACATATTCAAGACATCCGTGAATATCAATAGAGTGGCTGCTCATCTGAGCACGGAGACCTACCAGGTATTTTGGGATATTAAAAACCCTTTGTACACTTTTATAAACATATATCTTATCACCCTCCCAGGGATGGTTTGGTATTTAAACACATTTTAAAAAGTATTCTGTATTGATCAAAAAGAGTATTCTCATGATTTACATGTATTCCTTTACAAATAGTACATACTCCAGATGTTATATGTTGTGTAATACACCTTTTACAGGATGTAATGGATGACATGCTAGATTTGTTGCACCTGAGGCATGAAATAATGGAGCGAGTGGAGAGCGTCCTGAAGAAAGCAATGAATTACCAGCGAAAGTTTGACTGCTACACTCATCTGTGGCAAGATGACAGGGCTGAGTTTCTCAGCCAGTTTCTCCTGTATGGACGTGCACTCACAGCTGAGGAGCTGGAGGCTCACAGAGCAGAAGTACTCCCAGAGCGTCCGCCTACGATTGATAACTTCAAAGAGCAGGTAGAAATCATAAAATCATAAATCACATTTTCCCGTGTATAACAAATGTCCTCATTTTAATCTTGTTTGTGATCTTACTTTTACAGATAGATTATTTTGAGGATCTCTATACTGAAATTTCCAAGCTGGAAGATTTCAGAGTTTTCAACGGATGGTTTAGGGTGGACATCAAGTTTTTCAAAGTCAGCCTCCTTAACATTGTGATGAAGTGGAGCTGGCTTTTCAAAGAGCACCTCCTGACATTTGTGACAAACAGGTACAATTCTGCATGTTATGAAATCCAGATGGAACTATCACATCGGCCGATCTCACACATGCTTTTCCACTCAGTCTCGATGAGCTGCAGATGTTTGTCCGAGCCACCGTTGAAGGGCTGAACCATCCTGTAGCTGAAGGAGACCAGCATAACTTGACAGAAGTTATGAGTCACCTGCTGGCTGTGAGAGACAGACAAACAGCCACAGACAAGATGTTTGAGCCTCTTAGAGACACGATAATCCTCCTGGAACGATACGGAGTGACCATACCAGACCAGGTCTTCTCTCAGATGGAGGTAAAGAAAGGAGTTAGGTTAATGCTAATACTCTTTCCTTAAATATCAATTGAAATGATATGACAACAAGGGCTACTTTATTCTGAGACAAATAGTCATAATGTCTTAAATCAATTCTCTCTTTAGGAACTCCCTGAGAAATGGTGTTCAGCTAAAAAACTGGCCTTAAAAGTGAGACATGAAGTGGCACCCATGCAGAATACAGAGGTGATGGTGTTACGGAGACGATGCATGGCGTTCGAGGTAAAAATTGCTTTAGATTTTTTTTATTCCAGAGAAAATTATAAAAATCTTTAAGCACTCTTTTGAAACTATTGTATTGTATATGCCAGTGTAAGGCGTTTTAAGACCATTATTTTTTAGGTCAAACAAACCAAATTCCGGGAGATGTTCGGAGCAACTGCACCCTTCACTTACAATGCACTGCATCCCTACATCAGTCTGGAGAAAGTAAGAGTTCAGCTGTTGTTTGATTATAGCATTAAAAGAACACAGTATTCTTCAGCATGAATAACAGATGTCACATGTTGTTTCCTAGTCAGAAAAAGCAATTCAAAACATGGAGAAAGAAGTAGCTGAACTTCAGGAGTCCACAAATCTGTTTGATGTTACTATTCCTGAGTACAGAGACATCAAGCTCTGCAGAAAAGAGATCACCATCCTCAAAGAACTGTGGGACATTGTTGTATTCGTGCAGGTAAGTGGCTAATTGGGCTTTTTTACTTCAATTTTGATATTTTTGAAAAAATGTGAATGCAGCTGAAGGCCTCCTCACCTTACCATGTCAGCCTTGAAAGAATGATTTGACCAGCGTGTCCTTGTGGAGGCTATCATTGATTCTTTTACCCTGAAGACTCTAAATGTCCCCATCAAGCCCATTGACCCCTCAGCATGCGACTTTATCTAAACAGAGCAGTGTGAAAAACTGGACAATGACCAAATGGAGGCAGATAAACGTGGACCAGATGGATGCAGAATTGGGGAGGTTTGCCAAGGTGAGGTCACCAACAGTGCTACATCACACCAGCACATCTCTCCTGCTGTCTTGCTGTCATGCACCATTGCTGTTTGTAACAGATTTACCTACCTTCTGTTTGTGTAGGACATGCGGAAGCTTGACAAGGAGGCTCGTGTGTGGGATGTGTATTCCGGGTTGGACCTTTATGTAAAGAACCTGTTGACATCACTACGGGCCGTGAGTCATCTTCAGAACCTGGCAATACGAGAGCGCCACTGGGCGCAGCTTGTTAGAACCACACAGGTACACACAGTAGAGGTGCATGTACATGATTATTACATGACAGAACTTTTCATTCTCACCATTTTAATCTAATTCTCTAATAGATGGACATCACTGTTACTGACACTACCACCTTGGACGACCTCTTGGCCCTGAAGCTCCATTTGTTCGAAGATGAAGTTCGCAACATAGTGGATAAGGCGGTCAAAGAAATGACCACAGAGAAGGTTCTTCTTTATTTATATTTAATGGGGAAACACATCAAAAGCTCTGTTTTAATGATCTAATCCAGTGAAAAACATAGCTGGATAGTACTGTGTCTTAATTAATTTTTCATATATCTTTGTATTGCATGCAATAAACCAATTTAGCTAGCCTTCTCCCATTCCCTTTAAAAGCCAGGTGAGCTTTGACGATGGCAGATTGCTATTACCAGGGCAGATTTTCCAGATAGTTTACAGAAGAAACTGCTTCACTTGACGAACAAGCAGATCATCTTTGTGTGTGACAAATAATTAAACAACTTGGGTGCTGAATGGTAAAATTACTGAAATCTGCAAAGACCTCTCATGCATCATGCTTGGAGCCACTTTATACTGGGTGTAGGCCCTCAAAAGTGTTTAATTCATAATGACAAATTATAGAATGTAACATGCTGCAGTTTGTTGAATGAAGAAACATTGCTCAACATCATGATTGTTTCATATAAACTGGAAATTTAGTTCAGGAATTGTTCATATACTCCAAATATTGTTGTAAATAAGGTAAGTTTATTTTTAACACTGTTATCATTAGGCTGTCCATTATTTGCATTTCAGGTTGTAACAGAAATTAGTGAAACCTGGGCATCAATGGAGCTTTCATATGAAGACCATTACCAGACCTCTGTGCCTCTTCTTAAATGTGATGAGGATCTTATTGAAGCTCTTGAGGATCATCAGGTAAATATTGAAGTTACTGAACTCGATCTTAGAATGAGTTGTCTGTGAGAAGCAGTAGTACTGAATAGAGATGAGAGTGCAGAAAGGGGCGCCCCATTGACTGTCTGACAGCACAGCTGTGGGTAGAGAGGTCCCTATTGAGACCTTTGATTTATAGCTGCTGTAGGACACAGGGCATTGTTTGGCTGTGGCACTCTTTGTACATGTACACCAGATGTATTGGGGGGTTATAGCCAGCAATTAGAAGTCTTGCCACTTCAGTGCCTCCATCTTTGTTTAAAAAGAGCCCTTTCCTCCCCCACTTTTTATTGTACGGCATGCTGGTGAGGGGGAATGTGTCTGACACGTTATGATGTCTGGTTATCAAGTGAGGACTTTTTCTTTGGTATATTTGAGTTTTACATCAGAGCAAATCCTTTCAGATGAGCTAAGCTAATGTCTCCATGTTCTCATCCTCAAGGTTCAGCTCCAGGGCATCTCGCAGAGCAAACACATAAATCACTTCCTGATCCAGGTGCTGGAACTACAGAAGCAGCTCTCTGTGGCTGACTCGGTGCTGATGGTCTGGATGGAGGTGCAAAGGACATGGGCCTACCTGGAAAGCATCTTTAAAGGCTGTGATGATATCTGCCAACAGCTGCCTGCAGACGCACACAGGTTCCAAGCTATAGACGGAGAATTCAAAGTATGGACTTACATGTCAGTCATGCAGTCATTATAAGTATGTTATTCTCATGATAATAAAAATTGTTGTTTGGCTCTTTCAGGAACTAATGTTGGACAGTGCCAAGACCAAAAATGTCATAGAGGCCACCAACAAACCTCATCTATTTGAGAAGTTAGAAGATCTACAAAAAAGGTTGATGCTTAGATTGACATACGCCTTTCATTGCATTTCATTGTTTTCAGTTAAAAGGTTTTTGATCTCTGTGGTGGAAACGTTTTTCCAACAGGCTGGCTCTGTGTGAAAAAGCTCTTGCTGAATACCTGGAGACAAAGAGACTTGCGTTTCCACGATTCTACTTTATTTCATCTGCAGATTTGTTGGACATCCTTTCTAAAGGGAGTCGCCCCAAACAGGTACACCGATGCAGAAGATGCATTCATTTTTATTTTTACCGTATTAATGTCGCTGTTGTTTCTCACTATTTCTCATGGGAAATGTAATGACGTTTTGTGTTTTGCAGGTAACCATCCACCTCTCAAAACTGTTTGACAACTTGTCAGATCTCGAGTTTGCAGAAAATGATCGGGTGGACAATCCTAAACTTGCGGTGGGCATGTACAGCAAAGAGAGGGAACATGTCCCGTTCCAGACTGAATGTTGCTGTTATGGCCCAGTAAGACACTACATACATTCAGAATCGGATAGTTTAAATTATGTAATCACATTTACAATTATAAGTTTACTAACGGTTGAAATACTTTGTGTAAGGTGGAGGCATGGCTGGCGTGTCTTGAAGAGTCTATGAAGGAGTGTGTCAGGGGTCACTTATCTGAGGCTGTGTCCACGTACGAGGACAAGCTCAGAGACCAGTGGATTCTTGACTTCCCCGCCCAAGTGGCTCTGACTGGATCTCAGATCTGGTGGAGCAATGATATGGAGCTTGTATTTAAAAGACTGGAGGAAGGTTTTGAATCTGCACTAAAAGACTGCAACAAGAAGCAGGTATGTACAGTATGTCATGTTTAACACACACACACACACACACACACACACACACACACACACAATATATACTGTATATGCACATATATATAACCTGAGCTGGGCTTGTGGAGCCTCAGTAGTGTTATCATTCTTGTCAGTTTCATCAGCACCCTTTAGGTTAGCATGTCCTTGGCTGCTGTTTGAATAATCTCTCTCACCCTTCAAGCGACTGTACTGCACTGATTGGATCTGCTGTTATACACGACCAGTGACAAATACAAGCCATCCAGTGATGTTTTAGTCCCAGTCTTTGATTAGTGTACACCGCTGTGTCTGTCATATCGTCTACAAGGTCCATGTTCATATAATGAATGTATGTTGTTCTGCATGGATTGAACTTTTAACAGCTTTGACTGATTAACAATACAAATAATAGGAATTTGAACCAATTTGACTTTTGCCAATTCAGTCATATGTGTGATTTTTAGATGAGCTCTCTTCTCTATTTCCTCAACATTGCTCTAAAGCTGTTTTTCTTTCCTACTGCAGATTTCTCAACTCAACTCATTGATCAGCATGCTACTGGGAGAGCTGAGCCCGGGCGACAGACAGAAGATCATGACTATATGCACGATTGACGTCCATGCTAGAGACGTTGTTACAAGCCTCATTGCCCAAAAGGTTAACACAACTGCCAAAATTAGTGTTTCATTTTAGTGATTTAACTTTGGAATTATGAAAAGGTGCTACTGAATAATTGTGTAGCATAAATGCAATGTTGTTTTATTTTTGCTTGTTTGCCGCTAATCAAGCTGCACTAAATTCCACACACAGATACAACATAAAAAAATAAGTTCAGGAGGTAACAATTCGCCTTAATATGAACAATTAATGTCCTAATTTACACTGCTTACATCACAATGAAATAAATACACAAACTATAGTCTTAGACTAAAACTATTTTCATTTGTTATCACCATCACTCTTCTCACTGCGTTCTCTGTTCACAGGTCACCACCTCACAAGCCTTCCAGTGGCTCTCCCAGCTCCGACATTGCTGGAATGAGCAGCAGTGCCACTGCTATGTTAACATCTGTGATGCTCAGTTCCTTTACTCTTATGAGTACCTGGGAAATACTCCACGTCTAGTCATCACCCCCCTCACAGACCGGTAATAGTGCTATTTATCTGTTTAGTGTATGCATGTAATATTTCAACACCGTTGCTAAATTCAGCCTTGCTAACCAGTACTCGTGTTCCTCTGTGGTTTAGCTGCTACATTACATTGACTCAGTCACTCCACTTGACTATGAGTGGAGCCCCAGCAGGTCCTGCTGGAACCGGGAAGACTGAGACCACTAAGGATCTTGGGAGAGCCATGGGCATCATGGTGTACATCTTCAACTGTTCTGAACAGATGGACTATAAGGTGTGAAATTCCATGTTCATACTATAATTATTTTCCTCACAGTTCAGCGCTTGATTAGATGTTTTAGTGTATGTTTGGATGCAAAATGTAATTTTCTTGTTATGTTCAGTCAATCGGAAATATCTACAAGGGTCTGGCTCAGACTGGAGCATGGGGCTGCTTTGATGAGTTCAATCGTATCGCTGTGGATGTTCTGTCAGTTGTAGCAGTGCAAGTCAAAACAATACAGGACGCTGTTCGCTCTAAAAAGAAAAGGTTGGAAATCAAAGCTCAGTACTTGAAACCTTAAATGTTGTAACAGTTAAACATTTATTAACACTTTGTGACATTTCACAGGTTCTTTTTCCTTGACAAGGAAATTGTCTTAAATCCCTCTGTGGGGATTTTTATCACGATGAACCCTGGGTATGCAGGAAGGACAGAGCTACCTGAGAACCTCAAGGCTCTTTTCAGGTGGGAATGATACAATAAGTTACCTTACACACCTTATGTACCTTCAACATGAAGATAACTGTCTGCATCTGTGTCCTAGACCCTGTGCCATGGTGGTGCCTGACACTGAGCTTATTTGTGAGATAATGTTGGTGGCAGAGGGCTTCCGAGGTGCTAAGCTTCTAGCCAGGAAGTTTATCAGCCTGTATACTCTCTGTAAAGAGCTGCTCTCCAAGCAGGTAGGAGAAAAGCACTCAGTAGCACTGTTACATTTCATAATGTTGGCTTAGAAGACATCATCAACAATAAATCTTTCCAGCTACACCTCAGCAGCTCAATGATGCATGAAACCATTCAATAACTCTCAGTGCTTTGTATGACATGATTTATGGTAAGCATAAACACTGGAGTACACATCTTCACTCTCCATCCTCACTCTATTAGGACCACTATGATTGGGGTTTGCGTGCCGTCAAGTCTGTTCTGCTTGTGGCAGGGACACTGAGAAGAAGAGACAAGACAAGACCAGAGGATCAGGTGACTTATTTGTGTCACAGCTGCAGGAGGAAGAAGCTTTGTTTTATAAGTTTTATACAAACTGAAAGTGACATTTACTTTACAGGTGCTGATGCGTGCTCTGAGGGACTTCAACATGCCGAAAATTGTGACGGAGGACGTGACCATCTTCTTGGGACTGCTGGGAGACCTGTTCCCAGGCCTAGAGGTGGAGAGAGAGAGGAGCTGTGAATTTGAAAAGGCAATCCGGAAGACCACACTGGAGCTCCGACTTCAGCCTGAGGAGACATTCATCCTTAAGGTTTGTCAATATGCTTTGTATAACTTTGCAAGAAATACTTCCAATGAAAGAGTATTTTTATAAACAACTACCTTTAATCAGGTGGTGCAGTTGGAGGAACTCATGTCCGTGCGTCATTCCGTCTTTGTTGTTGGAAATGCAGGAACTGGGAAAAGCCAGGTTGGAATGTTTTCATAATTTTTAATTATCAGTTGTTTTCAAAGTAAATGCTAAATTACATTTTGTGAAGCAGATGTTTAATATCAGGTGTACATACATTTTAACAGATATTGAGAGTTCTCCATAAAACCTATGTAAACTTGAAGAGGAGGCCTGTTTGGAATGACCTCAATCCGAAGGCAGTAGACAGAGATGAATTGTTTGGCTTCATCCATCCTGCAACTCGAGAGTGGAAAGATGGTAAGAAGAGCTGGTTTCAAATCAAAAAACTAAATTATAAAAAAAATTAGAAGACAAGAAACTGCTCTAAATCATACTGGGTGTAAAAAGTGCTTATACACTGCAATCTCCGTTGTTGTTTACATCCCTCAATCTCTGTGTAAGGTTTGCTTTCATCACTGATGCGAGAGCAGGCAAACATCTCCCACCGAGGGCCTAAGTGGATTGTGTTGGATGGAGACATTGATCCGATGTGGATTGAATCACTCAACACGGTGATGGATGACAACAAGGTACCTCCCCTCTGTTCACTCATACACTATTCTACAACACATAGCAACTAAGGTGGTATAGAGGGAAAAAGATGTTTCTTTACCCCTCCTTCAACAATCACTTCCTGGTGTGTGAGTACTTGGATGTATTTTTACAGAGCAATCAATCATGTCACAGTAATCTTGTGCCTTTTACCATTTACCTTATCGTCTGGGTAGAGTCTTATCCATCGCATTCACCATTTGAATGTTGTGATATTTGGAAATCATAACGTTACATGACAATTTTTTTCAGGTCCTGACTCTGGCCAGTAATGAACGTGTGCCACTTACCACGTCCATGAGACTGGTGTTTGAGATCAGTCACCTAAGAACAGCCACTCCTGCCACCGTGTCCAGAGCAGGAATCCTTTATGTGAACCAGCAGGACCTGGGCTGGAATCCGTGAGTTTGTATTCACATATCATCAAAAAAAAATTGGGTGTTTCAATGCAATGCTGCTTTTATCTTATCTTCTATATCATGCTGTTTATATATTTGTGTTAATCTCTTCTACTTAAAAGCCTGATTGTGATCAGATCAACCCAGCATTTTAAATTGATTCCTGGATTGTTGCTCAGGTATGTTGCCAGCTGGATTGACCAACGTGAACGGCAGACAGAAAGGGCTCACCTCACCATACTCTTTGAAAAATATGTTCCTCGTTGTCTAGAAAAAATGAGAAACACCTTTAAGACCATCACTCCCATCCCAGAGAACTCGATGGTGCAGGTACACAACACACAAACATCCACAGTGGATTTATTTCCTCTTTTTTATCCTTATATAGTCTGAAAATCACTCTAAAATAAAAATTTTCTTCTTCTTTAGACACTCTGCGCTTTGCTTGACTGCCTTCTAACACCAGGAAATATTCCATCAGACTCTCCACGTGAGCTCTATGAGACCTACTTCACCTTTGCCTGCATCTGGGCTTTTGGTGGGGCCATGTATCAAGATCAGGTATAAGTACCTCCTTCAAGGAGGTTATGTTTTCTTCATTGTTTATTTGTCTGTCTGTTTGTTAGCAGAATTAGATAAAAACTACTGGACCAATTACCACAAAATCTGCTGGAAGGAGTGTGTAATTTGGTGCAGATCAGAATAAATATCCGGATTGAGTGAATTTAAATGCAGTATTATAAGGGGACTGTTGGGCCTTGGTGGATGACTGTGCTTTGTAAGTGCCCTTTTAGATTTGTTTGAATTCAAAATAAGTGTGGTTATTTTCTTTGACATATGAACTTATTCACTATACAGCAACTAAAAGGGCCAATCCACAGAAGTGTTTATGTGTAAATGAGGGTATTAAACTTAATATTTTGGGTATTCAAACCTGAGCAATGGTCCCTCAACATAAATTGTGCACTTTCCACATAAAAAAAGTAACTGGCCATTACACCACTTAGTTATAACTCTAAATACTCCTTGCTTTGTCTCAAAGGTATAAATATAGCGGGCGGTGCGACACAGTGCCTTTTGTTAGGAGGCATGTCAAGAATGTCAAATGACCATGAATAATATATACTTAGCCGTCAGTCATTTGGACTAATAGTGGGGTTGTTCATCGGCATTGAAATAATATGAATTACTGCATGATTTTATATCTTGGATGGTTTGTCCAGCTCTGTGATTATCGGGTCGAGTTCAGTCAGTGGTGGACCAAAGAAATGAAGACGGTGAAGCTGCCGGCACAAGGGACGGTGTTTGACTACTACCTTGACCCTCTAACCAGACGCTTCCTACCCTGGACTGATACTGTACCGCCGTTTGAAATGGAAACTTGTACGCCATTACAGGTAAGAACACACAAACTAGGATCGACGTGAGAGTAATCCCCTTCATGTAACTCCTGAAACTTTTCAAATCAGTTTGACAAATAATCACATACACGTCCACAAGAAGCAATCTTCTATAAGAAGCAAAGAAAATAAGCAAAAATGAACAATACAGTCATACTGTGTGCCTCAGTGAGCATAATAAGAGAGGGTAAAGTCACGTCATGAGGTTATGGCAGGGGTGCTAAAATGGATGATAGGCTTGCCACTGTGTCTGATTACCATCTACTACACCCCATACCAGACTGTGTGGGGGTGAAGGCATGAGCAACAAGGCTTGCGCTATCACCCACGCTCTATTGTCTTTCTTTATGCTCCTGCGTACAGCTGTGAATGCTCCAAAGGCTCTTGCTGGGCCATAATTAGTGGGGTTTTGTTCTGAGCAAATGATGCTATTATGACAGAATAGTTGTGGTCTACTTGGGAAATACAAGAAATTATAAATCACATACAATTCACTGAACACATGTCTGTCAATAAATCACACTCAAAGAAAGCCATAATAACCATGTATGTTTCTGCTCTGTGTCTTCCTGCTGTTTCTATGATTGCAGGCTGTTCTGGTACACACAGCAGAGACTGTGCGACTCCGCTACTTCATGAACTTGTTGCTGGAGAGGAGACAGCCGCTGATGCTTGTGGGGAATGCAGGAGTGGGGAAGACTGCAGTTGTCAGGAACAAGTTAGACTGTCTGCCCGAGAATTACATGACCACAAATGTACCTTTCAACTACTACACAACTTCCCTCATGCTGCAGGGTGAGTGGGGGATTACTTTGTTTGCTCTGTGGTAGAACATCAGGTAAACTGCAGCACCATCTGCTGGTAATTTTCAGGTTGAAAAAGGTGGAAGGAGAGAAAACTTAGTATTAAAGGTACAGTGTGTAGAATTTTGTGATATCTAGTGTTGAAATTGCATGTTGCAGCTGAACACCCCTCATCTCACCCTCTCCTTCCAAACATAAAAAGGAAACTGTGGTAGACTTTAATTGTCATAAAAACTCAAAAGGTGTTTAGTTTGTCCAGTCTGGACTAATGTAAAAAACATGGCGGCCTCCGTAGAGAGGGTCCCCTCGATGTAAATGTAAAATATTTAAATATAAAGGACCTTTTCTGGGGTAAAGAAAACTACAATTCATACAATTTAGATGAAGCGAACTAGTAAAAACATCATGAGGATTATTCTATATTAAATAAATAGTTCCCTTTCACCTAAATCTTACACACTAATGCAATTATTACCTTAGTAATAAGACATTTCTGCATTTCCAAACTTTTTATTGACTGGGGTAAGTTCATTCTAGCATTTTTTAACCAGATATTTTTTCATGGTTTATGTGTTAGGATAGTAGTTTAGTTTATGTTCTTTGGTTGTTGATTCATGATGTTTCACTGTTTCTTTCTCTTGTAGGGATCTTGGAGCAACCGTTAGAGAAAAGAGCAGGTAGACGTTACTCCCCCGTAGGCAACAGAAGGCTGATATATTTTATAGATGACATGAACATGCCAGCTGTTGACAGTTATGGAACAGTGCAGCCTCATACACTTATACGACAACATCTGGATTATGGGCACTGGTGAGAATGTCCCTCACACATAGAAATCTACCAGCTCTCATTTGTGATTCTGTATCTACTGCCACAGCATAAAAGATTTTACCAAACTATAGTGAGTTTATTAAACTAAGCCTTTTTCCATTTCATGTAGGTATGACAGACAAAAACTGACCCTAAAAGAAATACACAACACCCAGTATGTTGCCTGTATGAATCCAACCGCTGGGAGCTTCAAAATCAACCCCAGACTACAGGTGTGTTTTCCAAAATATCTAGTGATGAAGATAAATTGTGCCATGATTATTTATTTTCCATTGCAAAACTCATCACATGTGTTGACAGATTCACACCAGCAACTTTTAAGTTTGAAGTGTAATTTAACTTAAGATAAATATCAATGAATTTCTGTGTGAATTAGCGCACAGGTTATCCAACGTTTTCCTGAAGCACAGTTCGGTCTTCTTCTGCAGAAACTCCCCCGTCCTTTCATCAAAGAAAAGGCATGAAGAAGAAAAATTTTCAGCTGCACAATGTCACAAGGAAAACTTATCTTAAATCTCCTGTGTGTTTTGGAGTATAAATAAATCATGCAACAGATTTTAAAACTTATACCCAAGTGCCAGCATGATGAGGGTGTACATTAATGATGTAGCAACTAATGCTACTTTTACAAAAACAAGCCTGTAGTGTGTTGTTAAAGTTTTTGTGGTCAACCTCAAACTAGTGTCTTTTAATAATTAAAATTGTTCACTGTTTCTGAAATGTGGTTGTTCATGTCCTCTCTACAGAGACATTTCTCAGTGTTTGCAGTGAACTTCCCTTCAGCTGAAACTCAGATGTCGATCTTCAGTCAGATCCTCTGCAGCCACCTGAACCAGCAGCTTTTCAATCCGCTGGTTCAGAAGACCGCCCCGACTGTGGTCCAAGCTGCCATAACTCTTCATCACAGGATGGTTCACGGCTTTCTGCCCACAGCAATCAAATTTCACTACACATTTAATCTACGAGATTTGTCCAATGTCTTTCAGGTAGCCTTGATAGTAAGAAAGTTCTGCAATTGGACTTTTGAATGAAATATGTAATATTAATTGTATTACCTGTGTTGTTCAGGGAATTCTCTTCGCTGGACCTGAATGTGTGAAGGACAGCACTGACCTGGCTCTGCTGTGGCTTCACGAGTCCTGCAGGGTGTACTCGGACAGACTCGTAGATGACAGGGACCTGCGGCTCTTCAGGAAGCTCCAGATGGAGACTGTGCATGAATACTTTGAGGTAAAACACAGATTTTGATGAACAGTGTTCACACATTGCAGTTCTTAACACTCAGATAACAACACTGACTGAAAGATTGTAATGCTTTGCTATGCTTATGCAGGGACTGGACGTCAAGAAGGTGACAAAGGAGCCTCTCCTGTATTGCCACTTTCATCAGAAGAGTGAAGAACCCTCGTATGCTCCTGTTACAGACTGGTCTGTGCTCAGGACCGTCCTCACTGATGCACTGGAGAACTACAATGAGCTTAATGCAGCAATGAATCTGGTGCTGTTTGAAGATGCAATACAACATGTGTAAGTATAGATGGTTCACATTTTATGTAACAATGACATTAAAATGATCACAGAAACTTACATGTCTTTAATAAAGGAGGGGATATCATATGAGTCATAGAAATATATTTAAATAGATGTGGATTATTGTTGTGGATAAATCATAGCACTATTTTAAGAGTTGTTCAGTGTAGATTTTAATATTTGCAGAGCAACATGTATTTAGTGGGATCCCATTGATTGTGTTGTTACCAGCTGTCGCATCAGTCGCATCCTGGAGTCTCCAAGGGGTCACGGCTTACTGGTCGGGGTCGGGGGCAGTGGGAAGCAGAGCTTGACTCGTCTGGCTGCCTACATGTCCTCTGTGGACGTCTTCCAAATCACTCTCAGTAAAGGTTATAGCATCCAGCACCTCAAGGTAAATATTGATGCCATGAACAGAATTAATTAAATATGCATTCATGAAAATGCAATTTATAGCTTGCTATGCAAATATATAAATATTTTCTCTTTCATCAATTTTTCTTGCGACTGAATTCAGTATATTGATGAAATTCAGTTTTGTTCTGCTTCTCCACTGATGCAGGAAATAATTGTCAGATACTATTAAAAGCCACTGAGTAATATTTCAATATCTCATTGATGAATCAAGTTTGTCAATTCAATCTTTTAATAGCCTATTATCAAGGCGTTATCATGGGAGTTGTGCTTTCTCACAGATTATTATTGGACAATTAGAAACTCTGTAGTAGAAACAGCACAGATTCATGTTATTTTCTGTAGATGGATCTGGCAAGTTTGTTCCTGAAGACCGGAGTGAAGAACCAGCGTGTGGCTTTGCTCCTGACTGATGCACAGATTCCTGATGAGCGGTTCCTGGTCATCATTAATGACTTACTGGCATCAGGTCAGAGACAAACTCCATGACAGTGGTGCTGTGTAGCCTGAGAGACCACTGGTCGTACCTCTCTGTAAATTGATTCAGGATTAAAGTGATTACTGATTTCTACAACATCAGTTTGTGATTATTGCTACATTTTTCCTTCTAGGAGAAATCCCCGAGCTCTTCAGCGAGGAGGAGATTGAAAGTATTGTGTTGGGTGTGAGAGCGGAAGTCCGAGCCCTTGGAGTGCTGGACAACAGAGAGAACTGCTGGAGGTTCTTTACTGATCGAGTCCGACTACAGCTCAAGGTCTTGCATTCCAAATTTTCTCCGATATCTTTAATAATCCACCAGTGTCTCCCACATTATCAGTCTGAATATAATGATATTTTATTGGTCTTTAGATATTTTATTGGTCTTTAGATATTTGTCTTTATAAGTTGTTCAATTATGTCATCACTGTTCTGTGATAATTCCTAGGTGACCTGCTTTTGATCATCATCTTATTTTTTCTTTTAATATTCCCACATTTAGAAGGGAACCTAATGTAGCTCAGTTTGAGCCTGTGGAAATAGAGAAAGAGGTAGAAGGTTTGTTTTTAAAGAGAAAGAGAAAACTGATTTTTTTTCATTATGGCTGCAACATTTGCCACTTTAGAAATTAGCAGCTGAAAAACAGCTGCTACTCTAAGGAGGACATCTTTGATCACACTTGAATGTGCTATCACAGCCGACAGTCAAAGCAAGAAATTAATGAGAAAATCTGATACACACACTTAAGTGTTTGAGAGAGAAAATTAAAAGCACAGCTGCTGTTTAATATTATTACATATGTTTGACAAGCAAACACACAACATACACACATGCCGCCAAGCTAATCTTTGCACTACGGCTTCTTGTAGCATCACCGTCTGCTCAGGCCAAGTGGGAATGCAGCTACTTGTCCACATGCCAGTCTGACGTGGGGCCACAGTAGGCCGTCAGTTATGGGTTCCCTTCTTCAGTGAATCTGTGATATCAAGGATCTTTGTTTTATTTGCTTAAGAATGGAGATGCACATTTTTTCATTGATTTATGTGTTTCTTGGTGACTCTTTGTGTCCCTGCTCCTTTGTTTGTAGGTGGTATTGTGTTTGTCTCCCGTCGGCAATGTCCTTCGCGTTAGAGCCCGTCGATTCCCGGCCCTCGTCCAATGCACCACCATCGACTGGTTCCACCCTTGGACCACTGATGCTCTGCAGTCGGTCAGCCACAGGTTCATCCAAGAGATCGAAGGCATTGAGGTCAGGCCTCTGAATTTACTACTTTATGTCACCATTTCTAAATAAAATTATAATTTTTGGCTCAGTGTTTCCCACCACACATGTATTAACTGTCATAGATGCATCTGTGGATGTGATATACAACATTTCCCTCGGTTTGCCATGTACCAGCATACTCCAGACATAGTTAGACGTTAATGAACACCTTTTAATTACTACAGTGCAGCTGGATTAACTTTTCCATAGATCCCTCATCATTAGTTCTCTGCTGAGCTACTGACAAATTGCTGAACACATGCCTGGAGACTCACAGTGAGTGCAGGCATATCATTGTTTTCCATCATAGCAGTGGAACCATCACCACCCAGGATCATTTATGTTAATGAGAGAAGAGTGATTAAGCACATAACGACCCTCTAAGGAGGCACAGCTGTCACAACCAGGAAGTGTCATCACATATGTGAACATGTGCCAGACTGTTACTCTCCTCTCTGTCTGTGTGTGTGTGTGTG